ACCCTAACCCATCCGCATGGTAATTAAAGTTCGAATTTAAAAAAAAAACGGGATTTCCTGTTTGAAAATATTTTACACAAAGGCTGCCAAATGACTTATGATTAATTCGTAATTTTTAGGTAGAGTTTCCACGAATGGATGAAAATCAACGTTACAAATAGATGATGAAAATGACACGAAACAAAAATGTTGATTGGTGAAATGAATGTTATCATTATTAAAAATAGTTCGCGAATAGTACAATTTACAGTGAACTGAGACTTTTTAATTGTTTTAGATAGTGGTTTGATCTATATTTTTAAGACTTATTCTTTTTTATGGACGTTGTCGCCATTTATGTAATAAATAAAAAATTATCCCGACAATTAGAATAAAAACAATTATAGCAATCGAAACAACAAAAAAACTAAAATTAAATGTTTTGTAAATATCTTCAGCTTTTCTGTTTTCTTCCTCAGCTTTTAGTCTTTCGTCCTCCATTTTTATTCTTTCCTTGTTATCATTATTAAGAAAATATTCTGTAGAGCATATCTCATGATAGGATGGACATTTAATTATTCCATCAGCGAATTCGGTATTGGACAAACCAATTTGAACAAAACTTTGGGGTGGGCAGTCCACGAAATCTTTGGCTCCTTTTAGGCGTATGCGGTATCCAGAGGTGTCATGGTCACACAAGACATCTGCACAGATAGCGGTCGTAGTGATTTCATTCATCTACTTCATTATTTTGATGAGAGAGTTCGGGAGTGCTGAAAAACATCGTGAATATTCTGAAAACACAGAACCGGGGATTATTTCTGCATCTCCATTTAAGCACTTTGTGTCAGAATATTTCTCTATGAACGGACAGTAATCCATCCAGTTTACAGTACCACCCATTGTCTGATCGGGGAAGTATTGGAAATATTGTGGTAAACTGTCATGCTTTTTTATTGTGCAGTCTCCTATCCCCATCCGGTCGGATGTGCACTTGTACTCACTGATTGAATCTATAGTAACTTCACAAAACATATCAGGCACCTGCGACACACCGTTGATAATGCACTTCTTATCAAACAGTGCGCAACCGACATTCTTACCCCATTTCATGTTTTCAGCATTGCGGTAGTTGCCTTTGTAGTAACCCGTGTCTTCCATCGCTGCGATGGTGATGGCGCTGTAAAAGGAAGATGAGCCCTTCATAGGAGACATCAAATCGTCCTTTGCGTTGCGCATCTTCCAGTGTGAGCCCTTTGACCCACCATTACCCATGTCCTCCAACTCCATGTACTGCATGGTATTGCACCCGTAATGAGCCCTCGCGACTTCCACCACTTTGGGCGACTTCAAAACGTAACTTAGTGGCTTACCACGAATACCATCAGCATCAAGCATATTTTTTTCCAGAAATACACTAGCGCCAAATCCCAACGCGTGCAGTATCTCGTGCGTTATGGTACGTGTGGAAGCAAAAACGTTCATAGTGTCTAAAACCCAATATTGGCAACACCCACAATGGGGCGGCCACTGGCGTCAAGCTGGCATTTGACTGCCCACGCGTTAACACCAAGTTCAGTTGATCCAGCCGCTACGTACAGCACAAAGTCGGTATCCGGCACACCGGTGGTATGGTGGGACTCAGGAACCGTAAATTCAGAGCAGATTTTTCCCGTTAACTGATCAACACGGATGTTGTGTCTGAGCGGTTGCACTAGCAGGCGGTCCTGGTGCATCTGTACCGTGTTGGGGATTATCTTCTTACGCAACAGTTGCTTCTTTTCATCGGTGAGAATATTATTAGAATTACATTCAATTATGGAACCAGA